CTACGGAGCTGTATTTTAATAGAAAGGGTTAAGACTGTATGAAAAAATTGTAATACTTTATGTTGCCGTCAAGGCCAAAAGGGACAAGAAGGTTATTTGTTTTATGAATGTAAATTCCAGTGTGCTTTCTTTCCTATTATGTTCGTACAAAGGGAATATATTGCAGTGTGTGAACTACTATATATAGCTTCTTTAAATGTCTGATTTATTAGTGTTACACTAAGAACATAATGTTTATACAATATAAAAAAAAAATAATAAAGCACCTGGGCATACATAAATATAATAACGCAAGAGAGCTCATTTGCCTTTCTGTGTTTCTGGAACAACTATTGAAAGCATAGAATAATAATACCCTTTTTAGTATATCAACCTCTAATGGTTCTATATGTACTTCTACTTAAAAGTAAAGGTTTGTTCTTATAAATATTTAGGTGAGTGATGAAATGAAAGAAGTTTTTTATTCCAGATAAATTTTAAAACTAACAAATTTATAGGGCTTTGAGGGTATACTAACTAATGTAGGTTATTGTGAAATAATGAAAAAATATTACCATTACAGAAGTAATGAATTTTATATATTTTTCCTTTATTCCCTTTTATAAGTATTATAGAATTTTATCAAGTTGTTGCCTCACTCTTATATGAAGTATTCAGTTTTTCCATAAATTCAGGACATAATATATTAAAATAAGATTGATTCATTTGTATTCATAGGCCATAAAAGATTGTCAATGTACCTTTTTAGTGCATGTCTTTGAAGTGATATTAGATGTAAAACAAAATTTGCATAAGTGCATAATATGATAACTGTGTTCCATGATTAATGCACATCCTATTTATCATGATCATAATAAAAGTTTACGTAAAATATATTTGTCTTTTCTTTGTTTTTAAATTGAGAATTATACATTTTGTACAAAGACATATATTCTCTCCTTTTGTAAATTATTCTATAAACACGTTAGATAAGGCTCATATTATGTTCTTTGTATAGTGGATATGAATCAATTTATAAATTCATTTAATGTGACAGAAGTGTGGTATACTAGACATAACTAATTACATACTTCTATATGCAAGAAAACATGGTGCTCTAATCATTCATTCCAAAAAAGAAAGACGTTACATAAATCTAAGCTATCTTGAGTTTAATTACACATTCGCACTAGTGCAAACCTATTTCTTTGAGAGCAAAACGTTTATATGGTTAATTCATAAATGATTTTTGCTAGAAAGAGAAAAGGATTTAAGTTTTCCATAATCGTATTGTTTGTGTGTTTACGGAAAGTTCCTTTTCATGTTAATATTCACTTGAAAATGTGTGTACACAGCTTTTAAAACAACAGCAAAATTGTGGTGGATTTTTTTTAAGAACAACAGGTAAAGCATTAAATTGCGTTTTATTCATTATGAAAAAGATAATTGTAAATTAAGGCTTAAAAAATATGTATTATTATGCACAAAATCTATCAGCTAAAAAATAGAAAAAAACAAAGTCTATCATTCACTAAATACACTAGATTGGGTTATATTAAAAGAGTTTATGTCCTTTAAAGGAAATAAAATATTTTAAAAAATAAAAATGTGTTCTAAAACAAAAAGGACACAAAGGAAGGTTTTTTTATGCTACAAACAAATTTCATCATTTCCCCGAACAAATATTTATACCCATTGTTCCTTTTCATTGCATTTGCATTCATATTAAGAGTTCACTGAATATGCATAATATTGTATTAATATTACAATAAACTGGATAACATATATTCATATTTAGTTAGCTATTTATCATTTAGACTATGATTATATGAAATTATAATATATATATTTTGAATAAATTAGTTAATGGAAATAATTGCCTTAATTGTGTAATTTAATATTCACTTCATTATTTTTATTTTATTTATTAATACTTTACATATTTAATTATGCTAACAGTATTATTGTATTTTAAACCTGTTATAATTATTGTTATTCATGTTAATTAATTATTTAATTTAAATTATTATTAAAATTAATATATATATTTAAATAATCGTTCGATTTTTATTAAAATACGGTAAAAAAAAAAAAAACAATTTAATAATATAAAGTTAATTATTTATTATTATCAAATAAAGCATAAAATAATTTAATATAATAGTTTTTTTATTATATTACCTAACAATTAATTTAATATTATTAATTTGAATATTTTATTTAAATAAATAAATAAATATATATTAATTAATTTATATAATATAATTAATTTATGTATTTTAATCATTTAAATATATATATTAATTAATTTTATTTTATTATAATCATTTTAATGGTTATATATTTATTTAATTATTTTAATGTTACTAAATATTTATTTAATTAATTCTTTTTTGTTATTTAAATATATTAGTTAATTATTTTAATATTATATAATAATTAATTATTTAGTCAATTATAACAAACTAGTGTATTAAAATTATATTTAATTAAATATTTATTACAGAATATACACATATAAATTAATTATTGAATATAATTGATTTTATATTATTAAAAAATAATTCACATATTAAATACTTGTAATTTAAATTGTTTTTATTTATAATTAACTATCATATTTTTAATTTAACAAAATATATAATATATATTATATTCAAATTATTTTAAATTTTGAATTATATATTTAAAACATGTTTAATATTTTTAATTTAATTCATTTAAAATAAATAATAATGTATTATATATATTATTATTAATTGTTGTGTAATTTATTATTTATTTATTAAATAATTATTTAATTGTTCTTGTTATTATTTATTTTGGTAATTAAATATTAATATTTTATAATTAAATATATTAAATAAATATATATGTTATTATATAATTAATTACGAATTAAATTTATCACACAAATATATATATTTATTTACTTAAAATAATTTAGATAATTTTAATTTTATATTAATTAATTCCTTTTAATTATTTTATAATAACTTAATTTATTTGATATATTAATAAAATTATCATATTATTTATTATTTTTAATGTACATCAAATAATTTAATATTTATTATATATATATATTTATTTCCCTATAATTATTAAATAAATAGTCATTAATTAATTATATTAATTAAATATTTATTTTAATTATTTTTATTTATTTTAAAATAATTAATAATTAAATTAGTTTAAGGTTACATAAATTATATATTATATTGTTTTTATTAATTTAATTATTAATAATATATAATTAATTTATATTTAATTTATTATTTATTTAATATTTAATTATATAATACTAATTTTTAGTAGTTGTGTTTAAATTTATATAACAATTAATAATATAATGATTTATTTTTATTTACTCTTTAAATTAACTTATATATATTAATTATATTTCTATAATTACATATTTAATTAATTATTATTTTTTTTAATTATTATATATGCTTTAAATAATTTACAAATCTTTTTATAATCTTACATTTTTTTTTCATATTTATTAATTATAAATATTTAAATATTCTTTATTTATTTTTTAAAATAATAATTAGAATTAATATGTAAAATTAATTTTTATTTAATTTAACTGTAATATATATCTTTATTCATAATTAATATTTCTTTTTAATTAAATATATTTTATATTCATTTTAATAATTTAATTAACATGTTTTATTTAATATATTTAATTAAATTTATATATATATTTATTAATTTATATACATATGAATAATAATAACTAAAAATAATATTCTTAATAATTAATTTATTTTAATTATATTTTTTGCGCATTTAATTTAATTTATTCGTTAGCTTTCTTATGTTTTATTTAATTTATTTAATTTAATTTATAATTATTTTAATTATTATTTAATATATATTAATAATAATATGTTTATTACTATATTTCACACTTTTATTTATATGTAGAGTCATTTAATTTAATTTGTGTATTATTTAAAATATATATATTATATATATATTAAGTTTATGCATTTAGTTTAATTTTTATTTTAATATTGTTGTGTTTGAACTCATGTTTACATAGGTTAATTTACATATTTTGATATATCTCTATGTCTTACTTTAAATATATTCTTACTTCTGAAAATATTAATGCCATAAGGGATGATACATGTTTCAATTTTATTTTATCTCGGGTTACTAACATTCTAATGTATTTATCTTAAAAGAAAAATTGAATAATTGAGTTGTCCTATATGAAGTTTTAATTATGTTATATATATTGAGTGGAACTTTTTTTCTTTTAATATGGACATATATTGTATTCTTTTAAATGTTGTCCCTTGGAGTAACTTCAAATGTAATGCAGTATGTTTGTGCTCAATAAATGCAGAAAATGTGTATGTTAATATAGTATTAGTGATGTGCATTTGTTTATTTTGTGTTTATATGGTAATATACTTTATTCTGAAGCGTTTTTATAAAAGCACAGAACAAGTTTCATTATTCACAGATAAAGATGAAAAGTATGATCAAATGTGAATCATTTTAGGACAAAAAAGAAAAAAATATACATATATCATGCATTGTAGTATATTGGTTATTTCCTGGAAAATGTAAAACAAGGTATGCACGAAAATATGAATTGTAAAACAGTAAAATATTCTCTCAGAATGAATGGTTTATGTCTTGTATTGCATACCCTTGGAATATCATTATTCATGTTTTGAATAACTAATTAGAAAAAAACAACTATATTTTTAAAAAATATTTATATTGCAAAATAGTCTGAAATGGTAAAAATTCGTTTTCACTCTTAAGGAATCAGTTTATCATACAAATTGACTTATAAATTGCTTCATTATGTGGAATCTTTAAGATTAAACTCTTTATTTTGCTGTATCGTACAAGGCAACACATCTTTGTTTATAAACAGAAATTGTTTTTCTTATGAAACCAAAGAAAAATGAAATTATAACTATTCTACAAAATTTTATATTTTTACAAAATGAAGAAAACTTTCTAATAGCAAAATTTTGTCTCTTTTTTTATTTTAAAAGTTTATGTTCATATGAAACACATCTCCTTTTCTGTTGTAAAAAGGAAATAATGTTATTTGGACAAATAAAATATTTTTGAACCTTGTGCCCAATTAAAAAGGAATTACCTTTTTTCTCTGTAAAGAGGGGGCAATAAAACTAAGTTGCAGGTAATAGTAATCAATATAAACATGAATAAAGCATGAATAAGGGGAACTCATTTAAGAAAAAAAAACTAAATAATGGGTGGAAATATTTTATAAGAATCCATAGGGGTATCATTACAAATAGCATATTATACTCATGGAAAGTATCATCTGTATAAATACATATTACATGTTAAATGTTAATAATGATGTGCGAATAAGAATAGAAGAATCACCATTGATTTTTTTGTTTTTTTCACCTAAAAAAGCTAACCTTTAAGTCTACACACAAATGAGCCACTACAATAATCATTAGACAGATATTTGCTGTGACCTGAAGCATAACTTATGCAAAAGTTCATAATATTTCTGAAATTGTCTATTCATCATGTTATTTACAGAAAAACACATTTCAATATCGAATATGTTTTATTTAACTATTCTTAGTATTTTAGTATATATGTAATTCCCCTGGTTCATGATTAAATCCAAAAGAAGAAAATTTCGTACAAATAACAGAGATGATGTTATAATTTAAAACAAATAAAATACTCACACATATATAAGTGTAAAAAAAAGTTCTTTACTAATCATACATGTGATCATTAAGAACAGAAAATTTTTAATCCTGTAGATGTGAACCTGCTCTGTGGACATGGGACAGAAACCACTGTACATTAGCATTAAAAATATGGTGTGCTTTTATATTATACTGAAATGGCTTTAAAAAAAAAAAAATTATTTGTCACACAACATTTATTTTTCTGTTTAAAACATTACGAACACGAACTGTACAAGAATATAAAACTAGCCGCCGAATATCATAACAAAAATCACTTTTAATTTATGTAAACCCGCAAATATGGTCATCTTGTCTTATAATGCATAGACATTTGTGTTAAAACTGAATGGGCCTAAATATTTTTAACAAGTTATTCTTATTGAAGCCGAGGATATTAGGTAAATTACGGATGAGAAAGCTTTGCTAACATTACGCGTGATAAAATGTGGCAACATTTCACCTTTCTCAAATACAAAAACAACACTTACTTTTCTTTACACATTTGAATTAAATCAATAAAAGCTGTAACAGGTTTCACAAAAGAGCTGCAGCATGGTTGAAGTCAACAATATTCCTCTAATGTGTGCTTCCTTTTGCATGATTGATGAGGTATATTGTTGCAAATATAATTGTTTTGCAATCGTGTAATACGTTAACATTGTATGTATCCGTGCGTTAGGAATAAAATTTTACTATCGCATATTAAGTAACAAAAAATCTTGGATCCTGTTATTTTAATCGTAAGCATACGCTTAAGAAACCCAGAAATGGTAGCAAGTGAAAAATAGTGAGAAATACTATGAATAGACAAATTAAAGAATATCTAATAAGGGGCAAAAGAATAACAACAAAACGCTTAAGTGGAGAATTCATTTTTTTTATAATTTTATGTAGTCTAATAAAGCAGATCTAATTATTACAAACGTTCAATCGAAAGGATAATATAACTGTCCGTTATACATAATGTAAAGTTCGGGATAATTTGTGCTAAACTTGCGGCAGAACAATTATGCGAGGTTGCATTTACAAAAAAATGAAATTCAAAATTTAAGAATATTAGAGTTTTCTTAGAAAGTTTTTATTTTTAAAACAACGGTAAAAATACGCATATATTTTTTTTTATTGTAAAGACTTGTTCAGAAGTGTAATTTCACATAAGAAATGTTTTTACGTAAACAGAGTTAAACGACTTAATTCATTTAATTTGTTTTTTTCTAAATGTACATTATAGAAAAAAAAATGGTTATTTTTACAAAATACAAAAAAGCTTGAACAAATTTTGTATGTTTTTAGACAAATAAAACTAAAAAAATAGAGTCATGAAGAATGCTGTAACAGACTTTTTTTTTTTCTTTTAAAAAAATTGCCTTTTTAAAAAATATGTTTGTAAAAAAAAAAAATAAACACGTTGATATAGCATGTTTAATGGTGAGAACTTTTTTAACATACTTTAACAACGGGATAAAACTATTAAGTGCTTTCTCTTTGTTCACACGAAAAACAATTAGTATCTTAGGGATTTATTTCTGAACAGATACGATAATCCTTTATATAAGTTGTAGGAGTACTGATACTTGTTGTCTAAAATATCTTCTTTATAAAATTTAAAAATGTCCACAATGGAATTCATTTCTGAAAAGGGAAAAAAGGAATAGGCAGATAAATATGTATATATATTACATATATGTCTATATTTATGCTCATTAAAACTGTGGAAGCGGTGTGGCACAGTATAGGACATAAAATAAATTGGGAGATTATTACCATAAAGTAGGTGGTGCAGTGGGTCATATAATTCATTTATTTTGATGAAATTTAAAAAGTCAAATAAAACATAGGATAAGGAAACTATGATGGAGGATAACTTCCTAATAACCGATACTATGACATTTTTGCAGATAATGCTTATCGCAATTGACCATAAAGCAACTCCTTTTAAATATATACACGTTAATACTATGGTATCTTTTAATTTATTTATTCTGTTCTTTCCTAATACACTCTTGAGTTCTGCCTTTTCTTCAACAGAATAAACAGTTTGGTTGTGATTTAAAATATTTATATATTTTTTTAATTGACAAATTAAATCTTCAATGCATAGTATACATGAATCTATGTAGGCATACCAGAATTTGTTGTCTTCAAATAATATTGTGTTTATAGGGTTACATAAGTGACTCAAGATGCTTATCTCATCTTTATATTTCAAACTTGCATTAATTAATATTAATTTTTTAAATAACAGTAGTTTCAACTTGGTCTTCTTGTCCATATTTGTTATCTCAATGTTATTCCCTTTTATTCTGTAACTTATATCTTTCAGGTAGTTGTAGATGCACGTAACAACGAAGAATTCATCATGATAGGAGCACTGGTTATGCATTGGGAATTTATCTAGCGATGTTAGTACTTTACAGTCATATTTATTAAATATAAAATTGAAAATTATGAAATGATATTCCAATATTGCCGTTATCCATATTGATGAAAGTATAGACACGCAATAAGAAAAATTCGTAAGGACGTAGATATTTGATAAGTTGTATATTTTTGGCAAACTCAATATCACATCAAATGGATGGGTCAGTATACTTACGATAATGTTGAAACTAATGCTGTTAATTATTGTTAATAATATATCGACAATGAAACTCAGTACGTATGAGAAAATAAGTGGCATTATATTTAAAATTATTCCCTACAAAAGAAGAAAATGTTATATGGGTGTAAGCGTTTAGGGCTGTTTATTCAACTTATGTGCGACGTAAATGGCATATGCACTTGAAAATTCGGGGGGGCGCAGAAAAAAAAAAACAAAACAAAAATAATGGAAAAATCATTTAAATTTTTACCTTCTGAATGAGCTCAATTATGTTCTTCGTTTCCGTGTTCATGCATTGTTGGAAATCATGAATGCTCAACTTCCTGGTATTAAATCTTTTCTGCAATATGTACCTAATATGGGCAAGGAAGGGACGTAAACATATGTGTGTGCATATGCACAGATTTAAATTATTACGTTGTGAAAAGCGAATAGGGTAATCACTGGCAACATTGTTTTGTTTTTTATTTTTGTCTAGGACAACGTTTATTTTGTGTCACTGCTGTGCTCAATAGGGGTAAACTTTCAATAATGGTACTTGTGCACATTTTAACAAATGAACATTTTCATTTTGTCCCCATACGTATGCATTGATGAAATGTCCTTCTAATGTATGCACAAAAAATAGTTAACGATTGTTATGCACTTACGATATGGATGCTACGTAGAGAATATCGTATATGTTGTTCCCATAGTCCTTTGAAAAAACAGTCTTCGTGTAAAATATGCTATAAAATGTTAATACTACGCATAATACGTTTATAAAATTCCATTCCTTGTACTTGTAATCTGCGTACGAAAGAAAAGAAAGAGCCGTTGACAACATGTGTACATATACACACATGTGTATGCACGGGCACATTTCGACATGGCATGACGCAATAATCTCCATGGATGGAGACATCTCAAAGGCATAATTACGGTTTAAGCTGTGCTCCTTAAAAATTATTAATAATGATAGGGTTAAACATGATGGTACAGAGCTAACAAACGTTCCTCTTAATAAATGCGCTACAATATTTAGCTGGTCTATAAAAAAAAAAAAATGGAGTGTTAACAAGGAGTGAAATAAGGGAATTTGCATCTAATTTGAATTACGCTCCTTAAGAAGACAGACGCAAAAGACTGACAGACGGACAGAGTTTCATTCTGTACATGTATACATATATGTGCATGCGTGTATGTGTAAACATGTGCTTGTTTTTCCTCTTCCCGACACTTACGATTACTGTCTGCATTTACAATATAGTTGTAGCATAGTGAGATGATCAGATTTAAAACGCTTATTAATACTAAATGCTTAGTTAAAACTTTTATTATTGATTTTACAATAAATTTTATTTTTAAATTTATTCTAGCAGTGTAATCACTATTCAATCCGAAGAAAATCATTATGTAGAAGAAGAGAGAGAAAAAAAGAAAAAAAATCGTGTATGTTCTATATTTTTACATATTTCATCTGTCATTAAAGTATTTTAAAACATTATTCTTAAGAAAACGTCATAGTAGTTCGTAACATTTATGTTTTCTCCCCTCTTCTGTTGTTCTTATAAAAGCGCCTCTCTATTTTGTTTGAGAAAAAAGGAAACATGACATAGTTCACATATAGGGATTGTACACTTATAAACGTATACGTTCATATATTTTTTTTTTTTTTTGCGTAAGTTGAAAATTGTAAAATGTGAATCCCTTAAAAGAATTCATATATTGTTACAATACATTTTTTAACAAAACAAGGGAGTATATATTATATAAAGAATTGGCAAGGGGAAAAAATCATTTAAAGGTGAAAATAAACGGATGCAGAAAAATATCGCTATATTATTATATATACATATATATATTTATGCAAGCGTAAATTTATAAGCGCACAAAATTAATTTCAATACTTTTCAAGTGCGGAAAACGAAAGATTTTCTTATATTGCCTGTGTAATGATGATAAACTTTTTTAAAAATGTTGCAAATGGTACATGGCTTAAGAAAAGCCTCGTTTTAGCGTATACATTTTAAGGGTTTACGGTCGTAATATCATTTTTGCATCACACTTCCTCGAAAAAGTTTTAAATTAAGGAAATCCAACATTTGTTACATATGTAAAAATAGCAGTATTTTATTTCAAAATACACAAAAGGAAAAAAAAAAAAAAAAAAAAAAAGAGCGTGGAGCTGGAGCCCGAACTTCACAATTTTTTTTTGTAAACCATGGAACTCATAACTTCAATTTCAAACATTAATTCGCCTTTTGCGAGTTGGAACATTTGTTTTTTAAAAAGTGTATAAAAATGAAAGAAATTTCACCATGATTTTTTTTTTTTTGTGCGTAATTTGTTATGGTCCTTTTGATATGTCAAATTTGATCAGTACATGTGCACAGCCAGCATTATATGTACACATGACGAGGTATGTTAACCTTTTTTCGGATTGGGAGTGTAGCATCATTCGTCATATGTATGCAATTTGATCAAGCGAATATTGTTTAGAGAGTTTCGAAAGAGATTTCCTGCTTCATATTTTTTTTGTAATGAAAATTGTCTTTCACACATTAATTTTTTTAAAAGTTTTGCGCAAATTACACTTTTATCGTGTACCATTTTGCCAATAAAAAAAAAAAAAAAAACCAAACGAAGCGCAGATAAGTAAATTTGTACACACCTTTTTAACATTGTGAATTTTTCAAAAAAATTGAAAAAACCTAAGCAAATTTGTTCATAATCTCAATTTTGAAATTACCCATTTTGTCATTTTCCCTTTTTTCAGTTAATAGGAAAAAGCACAATTTGTTCTGTATATTCTTATACATCTTACGTGGCAAAGTTACTTCTCAAGTGCTATTTAGCTATGGTACATAAAAGTTGAGTAGCTAAAGAGTGTCACCTTGTGAAAATAATATTTACGAAAGTGCGCAGGCGGCATATTTCTTCAAAGGTATACCCATGAATATATATATGTATATGTATATATATATACATGGTGTGCAATACCAACTCGAAAGAGTGAAGCCAGGGAGGGAGAGCTTTCACATGGGTTGTCCTCGCGCATCAAAAAAAGGGGGAAAAAAAATCTAATACAAATGTGAAATGTGTTTTATAACTGACGATACCGCGTACCCACGTGAACAAAAATCATATATTTGTGTAAATGTGTA